GCGTGCTTTCGGTGCGTACCTGGTATAGCGCCACACAGGAGAGGAACATCATCATGTAGATGATCTTGTACATGACGATACGTCCCTCAAAGGTGACGATGAAGAACATGCTACCGCAGATGTAGATCCAATATTTGACCATCAGAGCCATCACCATGTTACCAAGGACGTGCATGAGGTCCTGTTCCCCTCCCTCCTCAGACTCCTCTTCCTCTGTAAAAGCAGTTTTGCATTTTTCAGTCTACTAGACCATATTTGTTTCTGGATTTTCATTTCTAACCAAATTCCTGAATTTGTCATGAATAAAGGCATATTTTCTTCTTCTTTAAAATTCTTTGGGCCCACCCAAGATCTCCAGTGACATTGCTGATCAGTGTTAAAAGTCTCTATCATAAGTTTTCCAATGCCATTATGTGCTAATTCTAATACCTGTAAGAGATATTTGGACATATTTGTCATTGTTGTTAACAAAGTTTGTATATTTCCTAAGCATTTTTTAAAATGTTATCAATATAAGTTTATTGTAACATAGGTCATGCCTATAACCTGTTTATAAACTGTTTACGTATATACTACTGTAAGACAACAAAATAATAGCATAGAGCTTACCCTGCTTCTTCTGATCCTCTACATGAACGTCTAAGAGACCAGTGCTGTCTTCCTTTTGTTTTTCTTGTCTCTCTGTAAGCGTCTGTCTCAGCAGTAACCAGAAGGTCAGCATACAAAGGACCTTTTTAAAAAAGACGAGGAGCAAAGAAAACAAAAAGATGAAACAACAAATCACACAGAGTTTACTTTAACTGTGTGGGACCAAAAATACTGATGGTCAAAATAACACAAGAGGATATTCTGTATACTGCATGTAGTAAATCAGACTTGAGTTTGTAAACTATACTTGGATTGTCTAAAATTTGTCTGCATCGACTCTTTAAATAAACATCATCATTTTTCACCCAGGTGTGAAATACAGTGCAATGCATCTTCACTCTTCAAATTAATAAACACATACGCTCTGCACTACAACAGAAATGTGAGTAATTTAAAAAATATGTTACGGTAATTCCAAGTTTGTGTGTTGTATAAAATCATAAAATCTCATTCCAGACATAATCAGGTCAAGTTCAGTAGCTGGAAACCTGAACGCCTTAGAGTTATTCCAACACATGTCAAAACACTAAAACCTGACCTTCTTCAGGAGCACATTGCGTAACTACACTGTCTTATATTATTAACCGAGTAGTGGAGAGACACAATTTGTTAGCGAGATTGTTTCAGAATCTTAAAAAATAAAGCTTGGTGCAGCATATGCAGAGTACATCTTCAATCCCTGCACATATTAAACCATATTACGTGGTCAAGATTGCAGGCTGTCAAGCTAAATGTCAGGTTTAGTGGCTTCACGGATGTTTAGTTGTTTGGCTAATGTGAACTCCCAAACCTTAGATGAAAGTGAGTGGAATGGGTTTTTCTTCTCAACAAAGAAGCCTTTGACTTTGCTGTAATCCATGTCCGGAAAAGTCCAAATGTACTGCAGAACTATCAGCAGGTTGCCGTAGGCCACCATGAAGGGAGACGACAGCATGGCGTAACGCCTCCGATCACGGACCATCCACAGCAGGCAGGACCAGATGAGGAAGACGAACGTCAGCCAGCTGACGTATGTGATGCTCCACGCCTGGAGACAAACAAATC